AAGAAATATAATTACTGAATACTCTTAATAAGATATTTTATAGGCTAAATGATCATAATATTTAAGAACTTTTATAACCTTGAATGAATCTAAACATTATTATAATTGCGCAGAGGTTATTCTTTATAAAATTATCAAATTTTAGCAATTAATTTAGGTAAGAATCAAAACTATCTGGTTTTTATTTATGAAGGCCTTTTAAGTCTAATTATAGAATTCTAAAAAAATTTGTTTTAGTTCTATTAATATTAATGTTAATAATACTCTTTTAAATTCAAAAGTACACAATTCATAAATGTGGTTGACTTTAATTGTAAATTAGTGTAATTAATATTAAAAAAATAAGTATTTCAACCAGACAAATCCTATTTAATCTTCAATCTATTTGTTCCTATTTTTGTAAGCAAAATTTAAGGATTTAAGTTATTTCATCAATTTTAACTTTAGTTTCTTAGTCTTTAATGAATATATATTACTTATTAAAATTAATATTAACGGTAATAGTTAAAGAAAGAAGTTAGATTGTTATAAATTGATTATTGTAGTAAACATCCTGAAAATTAAATTATTGCTGTCTGCATTTAGAATCATAAATGTCAAAAAATACTTTGTGGGGAATGCTTTTTTGAACATGTTAAAAATATAAACTAAGTTGTACCAATTAAAAAATTTTACGAATAAGTTTCCTAAACTATATAACAATAAAAGATTGATGATAAATAAAGATTGATCTAACTAAAAAATCTCAAAAATTTACTTAATCAATCTGAAAAAATGATAAAACAAATTTGGAAAGATTTAAAGAAATCAATATAATAGATGATAGAATAGATAGATTACTCATATATCGAATTCCTTATTAGCATTGTAATCCAGAAGAATTGTTATTTAAAGATATAGATAATTTAGTATAAATAATATATGGAAATGCTATCAAAGATTAGAAAGTTAAAAAAATCTTGAATATGAAATACTTCTAGAGTAAGCTTAAAATTAGTTAGAAAAAGATATAAAAGGTTTTACGAGTCAATTTTTTGAAAACTTGAAGGAAATAATGTTGAATATTAAGTTTAAATATTGTCATTTTAGAAATTAAAATCAAGAATTATTAGTGAAGGACCTAGAATTGAACTAAACAATAAAAAAATAGTATTAAGGTTTTATATGGGAAGACTATAATAGTCGATTTATTTAAACTTAATTCTAAAGAATTTTAACAAAAAATAAATAAATGAATGTATTAATAAATATGATGCAATTTAGTGATAAAATAATTGATTATTATGGTGAAAATGAATTTTTTAATAATTTAGAATAAATCTCATCTCTAAATAATATGGAAAAAATTTTTAAAAAATTGGGAATTGGTTAGCTATGTGGAATGGATTTGTTTAAGATAATGTCGGAGGATAATACAATGACGAGGGTAAGAAAGAAGGTTGATGGAAAGAATTGATAGCAAATTATTGGAAGTAAATTTTAATGATATATATAATAAATAGGAAAGCCTAAGTATATTTAATAGGTAGCTTACTCTAATGATCAAAAATTAGGATTTTGGAAATATATTTACAATTATAAGGATATGTTAATATATAATAATTATTATTATAAAATGGTGGTGGAGATTATAATGATAATAATTAAAAATCTGGAAAATGGATTGAATTAAATGAATTGGAAGTATTAACTTGTGATTTATTATTTTATTAGTTATAATAAAGTAACTGAAGAAGGCTTTAATGAAATGGCCAAAAAGTCAGTCAATAAAAATATTTTTGAATTAAGATAGAGAAAATAAACTTATGTAAAATACTTTAATTATTTTTTAAATAAAAAAACAGTGGTGGAGGAATTTATTCAAATAAAAATATTGTAGGATTCATTAAAAAAGGCATATGGATTGAATTGAGCCATGGTTTTAAGGAGTAATTATTGAGCAATATTATTTACATTGTTAGATATAGTTAGGTGACTTATAAGGGAGAATATGAAAATGATTAAAAAGTTGGTAGATGGGATATTTATTACAAGGACTAATTTCAATAAAAAAATTAATTAAAGTAAAGAATCTTATGATATATTTTAATTACATAATTTATGAGGTGGATTATATTGCAAGCCTTTTGATATTGGATTATCATAGACTAGAGATAAAAATATATCTGTTGACTGGTATCTGATCAATATTTTAAGAAGAAATAGTAAAAGAAATCTTGCTGATAAAAAATTATAAAATGATTAACCTTAAGATATATTGTTTAAGGAACATAGTTACTGTTCGTTTAAATAGACCTCAGAGTCTATTCATCTATTTAAAAAGTCTTGCTTTTAAGCTTCTATTAAAAGTACCAGATTAAAAATTGAAAAATAATTAAATAATGATATTAAATTTGGGAAATGGGTTGAATTAAGTGATAATTTGAAAAGTATTTATAATTAATTGATTTTTAGTAATTCTTAAATTATATATGTTGGTGAATATTATTATGGTTAAAAAGTTGGTATGGGTTATATGATAAATTTGAAGATTGTAAAGTGGAAACAAATAAAATTGGGAAGTGGATTGAGTTAGCTGATGGGTTTTAATAGTATTTTTGATTAAGAAATTATTATACTTTATAGAGGTAGTTAGATAACTTCATGTGGGGAATATAAAAATGGTAAGAAAGTTGGTAGATGGGATATTTTATATTTTGATGAAGTAATGTAAGTATATATATTAGAATTAATAGTGGAGGAGGATCTTATGAAATCTATGATGATATTTAAGATTCAGTAAAAAATGGGAAGTGGATTGATTTAGGTGATGGTTTGTAATAATGGAAATAATTGATTTTTAATGGTTATTATTAAAATGGTTAGAAAGTTGGCACATGGGAAAAGATGAAAACAGATAAAAATAAATTGGAAGAAGGATTTATAAAAATGTAAATATTAGATATTTTAAACAAATATTTAGTAAAGAGTTGAAATACGATTGATTTTTTATGAAGATGCTGTTCAAGAAATATATTAAAAAATTACATTTTATTATTATGAAAAAATTAAATATTATTAAAAAGATAGTCTCAAAAAATTATTTTTCAAAATTAGCTGGAGCTCAAATTTTATCAAATTTAGCTTAACCTAAATTTTAAGATCAAAAATTATTTAATAAAATAAATTTAAATAAATAACTTTTCTTTTCAATATAGCAATTAATTACTAATTTAATCCACTAATTATGCTAATTTTAAGAAATATATAAATGGTAAGATCTATTTAAAAATCATCAAGAAACGATTTCAAATCTTAAATGAAGTTGAAGTAAAGCATATTAGAAAAATTTTAATCCTTACACTTTTTAATAGGAAGAAAATTATAAAATAAAGGTATTATCATTAATAAGAATTCTATCTGTTTTTTACTTTGCACTAATCCTATGTTTGACCAAGGATAAAAATTTTTCAGGTCATTTTAAATCAAAAAAAATTCAAAATATCTTGCTACAAATATAATCAATAGTTTAATTGATTATCTTCTAATTAAATCCATGAATTTAAAAAGAAATCAATCTTGATTATAAGATTTTTGCTTGATTTTAACTCTAATTTGATTATTAAATAAGTAAAGGTCAAATGTTGAGAAAATCTAATTTTTAAATATTTCTAGTATTATCCTTAGTTATTTAAGCACATTTTACTTAAAAAAATATAAATTAAATATTCTTAAAGAAATCACATTTTATGATTCATAATTTCCAATAAGGTTGCTCTAATTCATCCTATAAACCTTATATTTGAATTTAGTAATGAAAACGCAGAATCAAATTTATGATTGACAGCCTAGATGAATCTCACCATTATTTTGCAAATTTCAAATTCAACGACCTTCTAACAATCTAACTATTATTTTTTTAATTAAATATGTCTTTTAAAATATCTAGATTATTCTTCCTTATGTGGACTTAATTATCAATAAATCCATATAACTTGAATACAGATTCTCCAAACTACAATAATTTGATATTCTAGGACTATATTTTCATTAAAAATTATATCCTGGAAATAATAAAACAAGTTTTAAAGGCTGATTAATATAATATTTATAAAAAAGAGCTTAAATATGACCAGAAAAATTTAATCTTGTTTTATTTTTTATCATTGTTATTCTATTTAACTTAAAATTTTGTGTAATAATATTTTAGATTTTGTATGCTCTTCAGATAAAAAAAATTAAGAAATTTTTATTTATTGATTATGAGGATAAGCAAAGAAAATAAAATACTTGAGTAGCTATACCTATACTAAAATAGAAAAGTAGCAATTAATTTAAAGTAAATTTGAGTTCAAATTCGATGATTATTTCCTTTAATATGGTAGATAATCATCAGTTAATTTGCAATAATTTCTTCAGCATTAAAAATAAATAATATTTAATTTTTTCAGCCAATAAATTTTAATTTAAAATTTTATTTTAGTGAGGCTATTAATTATATTATATATTAAGTTCATGTAGATATTAAAAATTATTTATTACTTAATAAATCAATAGAAATTTAAATTGAGTGAGAGCATGAAACATGGTTTGATTCTAAATAGATTAATTTATAGAAGACTTTGTTATTCAACATTATGACAATAAAATTATATTGAAACTCAATTTATATTTTTAAAATATTTTTTCATAAGAGTTATTCAAATACAAATGATCAATCGTTCAATAGTTTATAGAAAGCTATAAGTAATCTTTTTTAATAAATTAATTTTGTTATACTGCTTACCAACCATAGGTTATTTTTGGATTTTCGATAAATTTTATCTCTCTAAATTTTTCCTCCTCTACATTAACATTATATTTTTCATCATCCCATTAATTATCTAGGATTTAACTTTCAATATATAAATTTTGAATATCCTTAAAATTATAGTAACAACATTCATTAAAATGATACTCTTCACAAATGGTAAGCGATTTTCAACTTGATATAAAAGGAGTATATTATGTACATTAATTAATTTAAAGCAATTAGATAAATATTATAAAGTAACATCCTCATACTAATCAATAAAAAGAAATTAAATATTTTTGAATTTTTTCTACTTTATCAAGGCTTTTATTATTTACATCTTATCTTTTAATAAGGGCTAAATCTTTAATATTATTTTATTATTTAATTGTACTTGGATCATTATGAAAATAAAAAGATTCAACAAAACCCATATATTTTTTTAATCAGATTTTAATAATTGTTTTGTTTCTTAGATAATCTTTAATTTAATTTTCTTCAATTTAAATTGTAATTATGTTTACATTTATCTATAAGTTGTAGTGAATACAATAAATTATAATTCCACAAAATAATAACTTAAATTACTCATAAATAATAAATAACTAAAAACATTGAATCCATCCCACACTTCTTTATCTGTGTTATAAAAGCCTTAAATAAAGAGTTATGGAATTGTTTAAATAATCATTGTAATGATCATTGAGATAAGAGCCACTCTGTGGAATATAAAATCCCGAAAGATATTGATAGGTTTGGTTCTTTCTTTAAAAAAATATACATGGATTTCTAAATTTATCTTCTCTACTTAATTATAAATATTTATTAATTTCACTAAATGAGAACTATCTAATTGTTTCATCTCTATTAAAATAATAAATGAAGGAGCAATTTAAAAATAACTTAATCCTCCCATAAACATATAATATATAGTAGGTTATATCACTAAAAAAACTTTGCTTAACGACATTCCTAAATTCATAAGTGTACATCCAGGCACTACAGTAAAGTAAAACACAAAAAACTATAGAAAATTCAAAGCAAAACTTGTATCTGCAGTTATTCCATTATATGAACCATAACTTAATGGAAAAATAAGTTCAAGAATGTTTAAAAGATAAATAAAGACCTGAAATCCTATTTTGCCAAAGTATTTATAAATGCTTGAGCTTCTCTTAAACTCATTAAAACGACTTTCTATTAACTCATTAAAGTCACTCATCAAATTTTTCTCTACATGAGATTCCCAAACTAATTGAGGGTCAGGACGAGATCTTAAACAACTTAAATAGGAAGATTAGGCTTTTAATCTTAAATTACTGTTTGCTTTTGGTTTTTATCTGAATTGTTAAAGGCTATACTTAAAACTAATATTTACAGCTTCTTCTGGCTTTTATTCATATTACTTTACTTCAATCGTTTTTTTCTTATCTGTTCTTTTAGTCTTAATAGGTTGAGCATACTGCTATTTTGATTTATCCTAGATTTTTTTACTACATTTATTTAAATCTAAAAGGGAAAAATAATATCAATCTTAAATATTTATTGACTCAGAATTCATCTGAAAAAAAATAAATTCTAATAGAAATCTTAAGAAGATAATGATATTTGTAAGATATTTTGTTTTAATATCAAAGTAGACTTGATGAGAATGCTATATTATATTACAATTTCTTTTTTATTTTCTTTGAGGAAATATCATAATTGAATTTATTGAACTTAAGAGTCTATAGTAATATCAACTAGATGATAATACCTAAATAATTCATTAATTTATTAATACCTAATTGCAAAGTTACCTCATTCTAACTATAATAGAAAAAATGAGGTAACAATCACAGCTAAATTTAAATAATTTAAATATATGATGAAAAAAGAATTGCATTTAATTTATTTTACAAATGAAGCATAGGCTTAACTAATAATAATTCAATTAGACAGAATTTATAGCATTGATTCCAGTAAACTTAAAAGGATCTTTACATAATTAATCATAAATAATTGATTAACAACCAGAAATACCTGAAACAATTATTGATGAAGCAAGAACTGAAATTGATACTATAACCAAAAGAGCTTTATTTGCATCATCATTGATTGGGTCTGTTTAATTTTTATTGAATTTGTATGATTATTATGAAACCTGGAATAAATTGAATGAGTATTAAGCAATAGTCCAAACTATTTGGTCAATATTAAATGGATCCTTATAAATTGTTTCTCTCATTTATTTGAGTAATGAAACTGATATGTTTATATCTGCATTAATAGTATTAACTGTTGTTAATCCAGTATTGTAGGCCTTATCATTTGCAATGTTTAATAAAAATAAATATGATAATGATTTTCTAACAAATTTTGATCAAATAAATAATAAATTGATATTTTTTATAATTATAATAATTTAATTTATACTTTAAACTTTTTATTGACTAATAAAGGAAAGAAATTAATTAAATAATGCTCAAGAAGCTTTAAAAAGTATCAAGTATCAATTCATAATTTTATAAATTACTTTTATCTTGATGTTTATTAAGAGAAACATATGAAAAAATATCTATCAATATCATAATTGTATTCTGGAATTTAATTCTTTTTGGGATATCTAAGTGTTCTTATAAATTTTATTCAATGCAATATTCCCTTTATTGCATTGAATCTAACACAAGAAATATTTCCTTAATTAGTTTTATGATATATATATATTCCAATTATCATAATATTATCGGATACGTCTTTATCTTTTAAATAATTCATATTTAATATCCTAATTTACTCTGTATTTATTACACTAATTTAAGAATTATTTAGCCAAACTTTTATTTTTCAATCAATTAAAGTGATTAAAAGTGTCCAGAAGTATTTTTAAACATTAGAATTAGATATAAAGATTTATAAAAACCTGAAACCTAGAGAATTTAAAATCGAGATTAATTATATTAATAATATACTTTATATAAAAAAGTTTCCTTTAAATGTGAAATAGAATTAATTTTATATATATTTTAATAGAATAAAATTTCCTTATTTTAATGGTTCTGTAGTAGCCAGGGAAAAAGAATATTTTTATTAATTAAATATGTAAGTAGAGTATCCTCCAAAAGGAGGCATGAATAATTCCAGTATAATACCTTTAAAATGTGCTTGTCCCCAGATTATCAATGTAATAGTAAAGAAGTAAGAAATTGGTGTCATAAACCATGCTCCTCACCTACCTTTATCACTGATAAAGGGGATATTATTTGTAAATATCATTTAGGCCTATGCGATGGTTATTTTATAAAAGATGCTTCCTTTTAATGTAGTGAGGCAAAAAAGCTAAAACATGGAATTAATATAGAAGTGCTTCCTAATTTATAATGGCTATAGCATTTTTATTATTATTTTTATAGAGTACTAATTATTAATACTTTATATTATATTTAAACATGAACTAAATTACATATTGTTAGTTTATCTCAAATAGAATAAAAATTTGGTTTTATGAAAAAAATATTATGTTAATTGATAATTAAATATATAATTGAGATGAAACCATCACCAAAATTAAAATGAAAGTATAATAACAAGTTAAAAGTTTAAAGTAACTTCAAAATATCTTTACCCTTAATAATAAAACCTTCTGATTGATCTAACCATCTAATCTCAAGCCTTTAAATAATAAAATTTAAATATAGTGTCCCAAATTTAAACTAAGTTTGCCTGCCATTCATATATAAAAATTAAATTCCAAACTTCACACCAATCAATAGTCACATGATCTTCATAAAACTTCCTCTCTTTATATTTGTAATGCAATATAGATAGCTTTATAAAATTTGTAGTACCTACAATAATTTAGATCTAGCGAAAATCCGAACGTATCATTAAGTCTTATTATTAACGGTGTTGATTTAAGTTTTAAGTTATTTGATTGAGATTATTACAACTTATTATAAATATTAATAAGATGAAAAAATAAATTAAATTTTATTGAAAGATTATGACAAACTAACAAATTTTGAAATAAAAAAGAAGTAATTATAATTATATAAATCTAAATAAAATTTATCAAGCTTAAAATAAAAAGTTGGATCAGCATTAAAATGAATCGAAATAACAATATCTGAAGTAAAAAATTTTAAAGTATTCAAACTATTTAATGTTTGAGCATTTATATTAAGATACAATCTATTCAAAATTATTAGTATTCAAAAGTTTAATTAAAAGTAAACGTGTAAAGACATAGATAATAAACTAGATCATTTTTCATTCTTGGAAGTAGAACAAGAGTCAGAGTTGATGAAACTAAGTAAGTTTTATAGAATTTGAATTACTTTTCAAGGAAATTTTATGATTATTTGATGTAATGAGTAAAAGGAATCATCTAACTTATTTTTCTATCTATGAAATTCTTTCTCATATATTCTTTTCATTTATGTATCATCAACAAAAAAGTAATGAATTAATATATTTAATTTTTTTAAATTAAATCTTCTCTTAAGAGAAATGGATTAAAATTTATCAGTAATTCAGCAATACATTTCCAATGAGAACAAATATTTTATAATAATTAAAACTTTTGGATATGATAAATTTTCATTCATGTACATATTTTATTTTTAAATAGATTATATCCAAACTAGATTATCTAATAAATTATTTATTTAAATAAGAATCTTATTTATGAAAAAGAAGATGATCACTTTATTTAAACAATAATAATTGAAATGTAGAATTGAATGATTGAATTAATAATTTATTAAATAAAATATATGTGAAGCTTTTTATAATGTCAATATTTTTATTAAATTTTTTGCTCCCTAAACTTCATTTCTGAAACATAAACTTCAAGTGTAAATGATCAGAAAAACTAATGGATAAATAAAATAATAATTCTAATTAATAGAACCTCAATAAGATAATCAACAATCATTTCAATAATAATAAACAAATAAAATTTAAGAAAAAAAAATATGTAAAAATAATACGAAATCTCAACTTCCAATGAATAATAATTTGCTTAATTAGAAACTTAAGAATCTTAAAAAGGAATCATAAAATCAGGGAATCAATAAAATATTAATGTTAGAAATATCAGATCTTCATCAACAAATATGGAAAAGCCAGATTAAAATAATACTTTATCAATTAATATAAATCAAAAAACAAAAAAAATGAATTTAGACTCATTCATTAAATAACAAAAGAATTTCAATTATTTGAAACTTTCAAATAACATGGTTTTGATGCTATTGATATTTTAAATAATAATGAATGTGAAAAATTACTAATATTTACTAATATTCTATTTTATTATAGTAAAAATCAATAAGCTTTTGAAAATTCATTTTCATTCGAAGAATAATTTTAAAATAAGATGAGAGGAAAATTGTATAATACAACTTATGACGATAATAAAAATCCTAAATTCATCATTTAAATGGGAGAATTCCTAATTAATTTAAAAAAAAAATCATTTTTGCTAGATGGTTAAGGAATTGTATATTAAGGAAAATCTAATTAGCTTAAAAATAAAGGGGAATTGAAAAGAGGAGTATACTTTTAGAAGATACCATAATATTAAAATAAACCTCAATATAAATCATACAGCGTTGAGCCAAGAAGAATTAAAATTTTAGAGATTGTTGATGGATAAGCAATAAGAAAAAAATGAAAAGAATTTGCTCTCTCTTCAATACCTTAGAGTTTGAATAATCATAAAGAAAGGTTGGTGTTTTTAAATGTTATGAACAATATTAAATGTTAATTGAACTTTTTGAATAATCATATATTTGATTAAATAATCAATATTTTAGAAATCAAAATAATCTTTGATATAAAACATTATAAACATCTTTATTGAAATGAAATGAAAGAATTTCAATTAACAAACTTCAAAATACAGCTATCTTACAATAAAAACAAATTTTAGCGATGCATTTAATCATATGTTAAAAATAAACTAAAGCAATCACTTAGAGTAAATAACACATATATAATGGATACTAAGTATTTCCATTAAAATTGGATCACAATCACAAAAAAATTTAAATTTTGAGAAAGGAGTAAAACCATCGAACACTTTTAAACTTAACACATAAATTCATTACCTAATTTTTGATTTTCTTTATTTAAAATTGAATTAGGATCTACTTAAAAGTATTTTTATAGTTTATACTATTTATTCAAAATTTTCAGCATTTTTGAATCTTTCTTTTTCAATATATATTCCATGAAATTCAATTAAGATTGATAAATAAAAAATAATTGAATAAAATAAATATCCAACATAGTAGTTAAGGAATAAATTTATTAATTTTAATCATTTAATTTTTTAATTTGTGTTATTGATACTATAGAATTTGAAACATAGTAAATCACTTTTAGGTAAAATTATGATATAAATCAAAATTAAATTGAAAAGAACCTGAAAGAATTTTATTAGAATACTTTATAATTTTAATTTTATTATAACAAAAATGAAATAAAAATGATATATACTATCTTATGTAAGTTATTTTAGTCATTTAATTCAAAATAATTAAATATTTTGCATGGTAACTTATTATATCTTATCATATTCAAACATACATAATAAAAAATCTATGATTTATTATAAATAAGAGTTCTAAGCAGCTTGACTATTACATTTCTATGAATTTTTTAATTGTTATACTAAATTAAGAATTATATTCTGATTATTGATTATAATTCTTAATAATTATTATTAATAAAAATTATACTTTTTGCCTAGTTCATCAATTCTATCCATATTCAATTAAGATCTGTTGACTTAATTAATCATAAATAACTAACTTCTTAAATAAGATAAGCAGGATATTAATTTTATAGTCAACAAAATTTTTATCAAGTTTTAGAGAAAATAAGAATAAAAATAGTTGTAAAAAACCCTCCTTATTTTTTATTTAATGGAGGAAAAATGATTAAATATTTGATAGTCGATACAGTTATTTAATGAATTTACATATATTTTTTGTATAAATTTATTTGATGATAATTTTAATGATTTACATATATATAATGCAATAATAAAAATCCACGATATAAATTTGTTTATGTTTATTAATTTAATTTATTAATTTTTATTGAATTTATGTAGAATTTAAGATTATTGTTAATGATAATAGCTAGTCTTCCTTTAAGAAGATTTTTCACAATGCAAGAAACGCAATTACTCAAAATATTAGAATAAAATAAATTTTAGGGAACATGGAAGTCTATGAATCAAAGTGAAAATCAATTTAATTTTTTTAATGATGTATAGGAAGGAAATGTTGAAATAAAATTTAATGATAAAAATTTTTTCTTATAAAATTATGTCACATTTATATTCTAGAATTCCCAATATAGAGAAAATAAAAATGTAATAGTTAAAATTCCTTTACAAAATTATAATGATTCATTAATGTATAATATATATCGTTTTTAGGTATTGGTCAAGCACCACTAATTTGGATTTAAAAGGGGAAGAAAGATTTAGAAATGTATGGGAAGAGGATTGTCTAATTTAATATATAATTCTTGTAGAGTTTACTGATAAAATATATGATGCAATGCATTCTTAGATTAATGTTTATTTTAAATCGTAAACCTCTTCTAAACATTGCAATTTTTCAATAATATCTTCTAGTAACTTAAAAGTAGATGAAAATAAAAATTTTACTTGGTATTATTGTACTATTTTAATTTTGCTTCTTATACAACTTGTTGTGGCTGGAATTTTAGCATTTAGGATAATAAAGTATAACTATATATTGAAAAAAGTATTAATTTAATAAACTATAGATATAGTCTTTTTATTTAATT